CGGCCGGGGATCAAATCCTGGGTCGTGAGTCGCCCGGGCCAACCAAGCCTTCCATCCCTCCGGGGTCGGTTAATTGGTACCAGACTTGTCTGGGAGGATAAAAACACTGACTTGTACATCGGCTGGCCCCCGCAAGTCATTGTATAGGCCACATCGCATTCAAACGCCACTACGAATGTACAAATGGAAGTAGAATGCGTGCCGCATCCCAAAAAGGGATTGATCAACGGCAAATGCTTTATCCTTTATCCTTTATTTCTTCGATTTATTTTTACCTTAGCTCAATTGGCAAGCATGACAGATGGTAGGGCAGTGAAAAATGAGTGGGTGCTGTGGGCATGGCTCGAAATCTTGATCAAATCTTGCCGACTTAGACCACGCCGATTTCGCACGAAAGGGTTTTCCAAGGCAGCTCTAGTGGGCTCGAAAAATAAATTCATTTGAATACATTTGTAGCCTACACTCAAAAAGCGACGTGACAAATGATAGAAGACCGTCGATTTCTGTTGAAATCTTCTGTCATCCGTTATTTTCGTAACAGAATTTCGATTCGAAATCTGGCAAAACCTTCCCAAACTGTGAAAGTTGTGAAGTAGTTTACCAGAATATCTGTCGTTATCGGCTGATGATGAATCTACACAATTGATCGACTGGAGGAGAAATCAATTTCAATCAGGGTTCTCTCTGTTTCACTCCTGCGGCCAAGTTGAGAGGGGTACGGGCGACCTGACCGAAACAATACGCATTTAGTTGCTTTTGGAGACGACACGCATAGACCACCAGACTGAAATTTACCCAAAAGCTTACTCACCCTTTTCAAGCTAGCAGCCACAGACTTTATGTCCAATGAAATAGTGAAACGAGGCGAGTAGACAACCTTTCATCTTACAAAGCAAGGTTTATGAAGTGTCATGAAAATGCACATTATCTATCTATACCTGGTACGTCCTAAAAAATAGAGCGATTCTGTCTTACACATTTGGTACTGAGAAAGGTCAGCAGTGGTATTTGAGCCTTTAGGTTCCACAATGGATTGGAAATCCGAACTCAAGTCTCCTCTTTTTATGAACGGTGCTTTTTCGAGCTCGAATGAGAAGTTTGAAGATAGTAGAGCACTGAAGATGGCTATTATGGCGTATATGTTTCAAAATGTTGGATCGATTCGAGCCCATGCCACCATGATTTGCAATTTTCACTAATGTCTGCCGACCACAGATCTATATATCGAAGGATTCCATCCTTTCAACATCGAGGGTACTCCGGAAAGTCACTGTAGTCCTAAAATATAACCGAGAGACCTTCTACCATTCTGAGCGGAAGTTGAATCCGTGGGTGTATCGAGGAAGGATTGATTATATTCGACTATGCTTACAATCAGCCACTACTCATGCCATTTTCCAATCATGTTCTCCTCCTTATAAGAAAAGCAAACCTTGGATTTGAAAGAGCAGGGTTTCTCCTCAAATAACCGCAGGGTCAATGTACTCCAGATATTCTGAAAATGTCTGCTTTCCAGAAGCACAGTATTCGTGTGACCCCGGCGACGGTGAAATGGTTTAAAAAGGTGCGAAGAGCAGCCACTGGTATACACAACAAATGGAGGTATGTTAACCTCATTCACATGGACGCTTCCTATCTACACGCAGATGTAATCGAACACTAGCTACCATTTCAGATATTTACAGTAGATCGACTAAAAGCATGAATAGCTATTGGTAATTCGCGCCATCATGGAATTCATGAAATTTTCGGGTATTAAGGAACTACCAAGCTAAAGGTAAAGTCGGGATAGCCCCAGATTTTGGCCGCAATTATCCGACAGCAGCAGACATGCTTGCCATGGTAATTACCTACCTAGTTTTCTTTCTAGTGACATAATATTCTCAACCCCGAACTTTCAGACCTACAGACTGGCAGCTTGGAAAAGAAAGCACGCGAGCAAAATCTGTGCCAAATTCGTTACAGAACTTCATTTACTGACACCGATAAAAAACTATGATTATATCTCTGCAAAGGACTCCGTCACCGAAGAAGTAGCGATGATCCTCGTGAGCAGGCAACCCATATTGATTCATAATCTGACCCTAAACGATTCTTACAATTCAGGCTGGGGAGAGGTGGTTGACCGATTCTATCACCGAGGCAAGTAAACGTTACGCCAGAGGAGCAGGACTTCGCAACGTTGCCATTCTTTATAGTACGTTTTTAATATTTGCATGTCTTTCTCAAAGGTTCAGTTCGGGGTCGAATTGGTGTATCATCGCACTTGACAATGGGATGTTAGATCTAACGCCCAAACAGGAAGAAATCGTTCATAAGGCCGAAAATAAATCCTCTCCCTCCAGTAGCAGAGAAGCGCGTTATCGTTGATTTGTGGGCAGAGCTAATGGTGGGTGCGCGGAGCCCATGGTGTATCTGTGGGCCTTAGTGTCCCAAGCTTGTTAAGTTGTGGTACAAAGCGGGTACATAATCTGCGCCCGTGTTTTGATTCATATTTTTGCACAAGCGCTTCATTTTTGTACGAAAATTCTCGACTCCTTCAAATGGATGCCGCCAAACCAAACGTATCGGGACAGCCAAAAAAGTCAAGTTAGATTCGGGAACATCTAGCACATTGAAAATTTCTTTCTCGTTCCCTGCTCCCTTTCATCCTCTTCGTTTCTTGTTCGGTTTCTATCTTGAGGAGGATCAAAAAACCTAAAAAAAATGTCTAAATGTCGAGATACCGAGCTATAGAGTTTGAAATATGTACTGGGCCGAAGGGAATTCGCTCATAGAAGGCATCTAAAACCAGACCAGCAAGCTGAATGGTGACTTCAGACCGAAAAGGTATGCGAATCCACGTTTTCAATAATTGTTTCACCAAGCACCGGGTCATTTCTTTACAGTGGAGTACTCATTGTTGAGGCGGGGTTAGCGGTGAAAAGACAGCCCACTAGAATAAAGAAATAGGTGGTCAGTGGTGCAGGGATGAAGAAGAAAACGTGAGAAATGCCTCAAAACCCTGGAAGGGACTACTTTATTGGCCGTAGACTTCTGCCAATGCTAACGTTCTTTCTGCTAGGCAGTCAAAGTCAGGCAGCCGAAGGATTTGGGCAGTAAGCGGCGATAGCGGATAGCGGCGATAGCGGTTTGGGAATAGAGTCGCGTGCTGTCACCGGGGCATCATCCCTCGCTGGCGCGAATTCTGGCGGTCCGTTAGGCACCCTAGGCGCTTCGCCGTCTTTCCACTGAAGGCAGGCGTTCCACATTCTTCGAATTTGCAACCTTATCGTGGGGCCTCCTTTTATTGCCCATGCACTACAACCATTTGTGTGCTGCGACCTTTCCTTTTTTTAGAAATGGGCTACAGCTTGAGAGAATAAGGTAGGTCGGTGAAAAGGGCATTGAGCCATTCGTTTTGCGCTGGTAAAGGGAGTCCGTAAAAATCACAAAGCCGGTAGTACGTTGCTACACTGAATGACGAATGTCTTCAGCTATCAGACTTTCAAGATTTTCGCTTCAAGATTCAAGATTTATAAATAATGGTGGTGCACATATGTATTCCTTAATTGTTATCTGGGCCCAAGAAGAAAATTTGGCCGAAGCAAGATATCAATTCATAAGGATTTCAAATCTATGATGTGGTAGTATCGGTCTGCGTCATTTTCTTGGTTTCTTGGAAGTCAATTTCCGCGTAGCTTTTGACACGTCCTGAAGCACGAGGACCGTTCCTCAGATGTTCCTCGAAATGTTTCCTGGTAGATTAATAAGGGTCAAACACCTTTTTTCTTCTTTGTCATTATTTGCTTATACGTGTGCATATTTTCAGATGATCAAAGGAGATACACCGACAGTCGGGTGCCATGTGAAGTTGTGCAGCACCAATGGAAAAAACTACGCGGTTCTCTGCTACTATGGACAGCCGTGAGTTGGTAACTTGGCATAACAACAGAGCGCATTATCAGGTTGAGTCAGAAGTAATATCCGCTCTTTCCATACCATTGCCATTCTCACCACAACATGCTTATGACGTTTTCGTCAAAAATTGCGTGGGGACTATGACGGCCTTTCATGCAGCGGAGTGGTAGCATCTGTACTCTTCACTAACGAACGCTGTGCCGTCCGTTCCGATGCACTTTCACAACTGTTGATTTTCCGAGTCCCTTCTGGAATATAAAACGGCAACAGCCTGTCAAAACACGAGTAGCGTTGAAGGGCCAGATACAGTGAATGAAATGGCACGTCTGGTAGGTAACTGGCTCCTGAATTTCGAGACACAAGAGGCTCCTGGAAGCCAGGCAAATCAGGGGCGGGGCTACAGTAACTTCTTGCTTCTTCTCGTTTAAAAGCAACTGTAGATTTGGAGCAGATGAGAAATGCTTCGGGACCATCATAGTTTGAGACCTGAAGCTATCGAAAGAATTGCACAGGCTCGGACACTACATTCAAGTGTTTCTCTGCTTTCCAGGAATCGACGTTTTGGCTGTACTGGCCTTGTGGGAACGGCATAGTAGGCTTAAAAATACGGAGCTTCCACTTGCATGGATGCGGCTCGGTATCCAAAGAGGGTTCCGAAAGATGACCTTCACCTTCTGCTCGCTTTTTCCTTCAATACCTAACTACAGACCTCTCACGATGGACACCACGGCTGTTTGGACTTATTGCGAATTTCGCATGTTTAGAGCAACAATCCAAGAACGAATTCGTGGACAAAAACCACCGATAATGTAG